TTTTTTCCTCTGCGCTTGCAGTTTTTTTGACATAATTCTTTAATACTTATTGGTTCTTTATTTCCTATACCAAACCTTACTTTAGCAGATATGATAGGTTTTATAATCTTTCTTTCTAATTTTTCACGAGGCGTAGGATTAGGTATAGCATCCATTTGTTCAAGCATTATTTTATCAGCTAAATTTCTATTCTCTTTATCTGTAAAATGTTTATAAGCAAGATCATGAATATAAGCTGTTTTATCAACTCTATCTACAGGCATACTCCATTCTTTAGGCATCTCAGTAGAAGTTAATCTTTCATCTAAATTAGTACCAGGTCCTGCAAAGTTCATACCTGGTATATGCATTTCACCTGGAAACTTTTGCAAAGGTAATTTTCTATTACTTGTAAATTTATTAATAGATTCTACCAAATCACCTCCTTTTTGAGCTCCTTTTATAAATTGACATTTTCTTGTTCCGCAGATTGCACAATTTCCACATTGCATATTTCTTTTGTTTTTACTCACAGCATGTTGTAAGTTGAGTGTATCTGTTTTGTTTTTACATTTAACGCAATACATTTTTTATATATGTATTTTAATTTATTTAATTTAAAAAATACTTTTCGTTAATAAAAAATGGAAATTATAGATTTATCATGGAATGTGAATAAAAGTAAACGTCAAAATAATGAGTTATTGCCTAAAAGTATAAGAGGAATTATTGTTGGAAAATCAGGTTGTGGAAAAACAACATTATTATTAAACTTGCTATTAAGACCTGGTTGGTTAGACTATAATAATTTACAAGTTTTTGGAAAATCTCTTTTTCAACCTGAATACAAAATATTAAAAAATTCTTTTGAAAATAAATTACCAAAAGAAGTTATTCTTAAACTATTTGAGTTGCAAGATCAAATAAATAAAAACAATGTAAATCCAGAGTTTGTTATTAAAGACATTTCAAGAAATTTAAGAGATAAAACAGATATAGAGTGTAAATTTTTTGAAACAGCAGAGGATGTACCAGAACCTGAAAGTCTTAACTGTATTAAAAATAATTTAATGATATTTGATGATTTACAATTAACAAAACAAAACAAGTGTGAAAAGTACTATATAAGAGGAAGACATAGCAATGTAGATTGTTTCTACTTGGCACAAAATTATTTTATGCTACCAAGGCAAACTATAAGAGAAAATGCAAACTTTATATGCTTGTTTAAACAAGATTATAAAAATGTAAATCCTATTTATAATGATCATGTTTCGAATGATATGCCAAAAGATGAGTTTAAAAAGTTTTGTAATGAAGCTTGGTCAAAAAAGCATGGATTTGTTGTTATAGATTTGTCTTCTGATCTATTAAATGGAAAGTATAGAAGTGGATTAGATTTATTTTATTATCCAACTTCTTTGTGGAAACAATAAATATATATTTTTTAAAAAATATATATTTTTACGAAGCATTGGTTCTTTCAAAACTTAGTGAAGCCTGGATTACGAAGTGATCTAAAGAAACAAATTTAATAATGGTATATTCTTAAATGGAGAATTTTCTCCTAATAACAAACCTCTACCTACTGATGAATATTCATTTCCATTTTTTGAATAATATCCGTCTAAATGATTATAACCACTATTCCATGGGTTTAAAAATACACCTTTTCCTACTTTTCTAATTTTAAATCCATAACCATTCTTTTTTCCATAAATAATATCATTCTTTTTCATATAAATAATACCTTTTCCAGCAATTTTATTAACTATAGCATTTCCAGCAGCTGCAGCTGTTCCAGTCAATAATGCTGTTGCAGCAGTTTTTGCAATTACTGGAGCAGCACTTGCTAACAATGCTAGTAAAGGTAGAAATCCACCATTTTTTTTAGCATTATGTTTAAGTTGTGCTCTACTCAGTGAAAGTGTTATACCCTTATTTTTTAAATAGGCTGCTTTCATTCTGTTTCTTTGTGACTCTGTTAAAGCTATTTTGTGTTCACCATTTAAATCTTCATATGATAGATTTATACTAGCATTAGTTTTAGATTCAATTGCTTTTTTAATTTTCTCTTTCTGAGTATCTGAAAGATTGATAAGAGTATCATAGTATATTGTCATTTTTTATATATAAAATAATTTTTTTAATTTACTTTAAGTTATTGCTTTATGTAATGCTTTATACTCATCATCATCTATTTGCCCCTGTCGTAACAACTCATCACAAATAGCAACAATCTCATTTCTTGTTCCAGTATTTCCTGCTTGTAAACCAGCTAAGCGTAATTTAAGCATATCAAATAGTGCATTTGGATCACTAGGAAGAATAACAACTCCTTTTCCATACTTTCCAATCATCTCTTCCCAAATAGGTTTTATTAAATTAGTGTACTTATAACCTCTAGATGATTTTGGTTTAGCTAAATTTAAATCAGAGCGAATTGCATCTGTTTGATTTAAAATTTCTTTATACTTATTACGATCATCGTTAGTATATCTAACAGGATGAGATTTTACTATAATCTCCCAAAGGCCTGGTGTACCAATGTATTTTTTACCTTCAATGGTTATATCATCACCTTCAATAGTTATTGGTTTTTTACCAATGTAAAATTTTTTATCACTTTCATTGTAATGTATACCAAATATATCATCTGATACTTTTTTACTATTTTTAGCAGTATATAACTTTAGATATTCTGCTGCGATAGGTCCTAATCTCATGTTATCTACAACTTCAGGTGGCATGATTGCTTTAGTTTCAGAATCTAGTAAAGCAGGATAATTTGAAAAAGTATTTGCTATTTGATCAGCTTTATTTTCTAATTTAGATATACCTTCTTTTATTCCAGATTGACTATCAATTATTGGTTTGTACAACTTTTCCAAGTTAGTCTGTAAAGCATCATAGCCCAACTTTTCATTTACATCATCTTGATATATACTTTTCTTTAAACTAGCAAGTTCTTTTGCTATTTTTAATCTTGCATCAATATCTGTAGCTTTTGCATACATTTTTATATAAGTAATAATTTTTTTAAATCACAATGTGATCCCTAGATCCCTAAAGGGATTAAAATCAACATATATTATGTTTTTAATACATAATATATGTTCAAGTAATACATAATATATGTTTTTTTAATTCTTAAGAGTATTATTCATCACTCCTATATTCTGATTTTTGTTAAATCTCATATTTAACACTTCAATGACATCACTTTTGCCTTTTTCTATTCCTTTGTTAAATATTGACTCTTTAGTCTGTTCATCTATATCATTCTTAGATTTTGTTCTAATTTGTTCAGTCATAGCTTGAAACTTTTCAAGTTCTGAAAGTATCATATTAAATTCTGCATCATCAATATATTGATCTGATGTAGCTTTAGAAATAAGACTACTTATTGTATTTAGTTTTGCATCAGCTAGTACTTTAATCTTTTCATGCTTTTCTGCTTTTATTGTTAATTTTTTAATAGCTTGTGATCCTATTAGTGATAATACACCCATACCTAATGCTGCACCTTCACATGCAATAGCTACTGGTGTACCAACTATTGTTGTTAAAAAACCAATACCAACAGCTCCAAGTGTCATAGTGCTTGCTAGTAATGTATTATCAACTGCTGAAATGATTCTTACAGCTCTGTGATATTTTTTACTTAAAATCTCTCTTCTTTTCCTTTCACATTCTATTTTATCTTGAATTTCACTAATCTTTTGTAATCTAAAGTTATGATCTATAGATTGTGGTGGTGCAGATGGATTTTCTGAAAACTGGTTAAGATCTGGATAAAGCTGCTTACATTCATTATTATATCCATTATTACATAGCATTTCTTTTTTCTATAAAGAAAAATTTGTTTTAAATCACTTTTATGATCAATGCTTCGCTAAATCACTTTTTACCAAAATTAAATATATCTTCATCAGATTTATCTATACTAGGTTTATCTTTAATTACTTCTTCTATACTTGATAATAAAGATTTTACAGATTCTTTATCACTTTTCTGTTTAGTTCCTGAGTCATTTTGTTGTCTAATTTGTTCTTCTTTAACATGTTCTAAAGCATCTCTATGTGATATATAATTTGCATTTAAAACACCATTATAAGTTGATATACAACATAACAAATCTCCTTTTTTAATGTTTATATCTTTTTTATCGTTATTATATACAGTTATTTTAATATCGTCAGTAGACTCTGTTACAATAGAATTTAGTAAATTTAGTTCTGGTTTATAATTTTCTGCAATTGAAATCACTATATGTCCTTTATCTATTTCAACACCACACATTAAAGAAATGTTATTATATGAATTTGATTTTACTGTAAAATCTTCTTGTGCGAATATTTTAATATGTCTATCATTTATTGCTCTATGTTCTAAATCTGAATTAATATAAAAAGTTATTCTATATTGTTCATGCTTTTCATAATATAAAAACATTCTACTATTATACATTTTATAAATGTAAAGATTTTTTTTAAATCACTATAAATATAATACTTTTAAAGTATGATATTTTTCATTTTTTTAAAGTTCTTGCAATATAATTTAAAATGCTTTCACCTTGATGTAAAAAATTACACTTTTTATCATTAACATTTTTATATATTAATATTTTTTCTCCTTTTTTATTTTTCTTTAATTTACTCTCTACTAATTTACATGGAGTATAATGACAAATTTCTACATTTTCTTCAATTTCTTTAAAAGAATGAGCATATTTGCAATTTATATTTTTACATTCTTTTTTATCAAGAATATATTTACATATTTTAGTTTTAGCTTTTCTTAATTTAGATAATTCTGACTTTTTTGGATGAAATAAAACACACTCTTTATTCTTACATTTAGGGTATTCAGAACATAGAGATAAATGTCTATATTGACATGAAGATTTAGTACATATCAGTCTTTCCTTTACAGTATTACAATAAGGAATATCATGATTGTATTTACATTTTCTTCCAAAAGGACAATAATTATCATTTAAAATATTTTTACAAAAAATGGGTAGTTTCTCTACAAAATGAATTGTTGAAGGTTTTCCATCTTCAGTAAAATTAATATCAACATTAAATGGTTTTTCAAAACTAAATTTTCTTTTTTTGTAATGTTTTTTTGTTAAGAAACTATCTATAGCAGGATAATCATCATTAATAACATTATAAGTTGGAACATAATTAATCCATTTCAGCTTATCTTTATGCAGTTCCATGATTTGAACTGTTTTTAAAGGAATTGGAACTATAGGTTTTTCTTTAACTTCATCTTCATCATCAGATGTAAAATAAGTAGCTTCATCAGATGTATAATAAGTGTCATCTTCAGAATCTGATTCTTCAAATTCAAATTTTAATATTTCTTCAAAAAGTTTAAATTCTTTTTGAAATTCAGATATTTCATTAATCTCATCATCATTCATTTTTTATTTTTATTATTTGTAAAAATATTTTAAATCAAAAAAAATTGAAAATGAATTAAATAATTTTCTTTTATATATAAAAAGAATGGAAAACGAAATGCAAAATTCATTTTTAAAATCAATTGAACAAAGATTAAGATTAATAGAAGAAAAATTAAATATTATTAATATTCATGATATTGAAATGACTGAAGATTCTGAAGTTACTACAGTTACTACTACTGAAGTTACTGAAATTACAGAAACTACTGAATATGTTAATGAAGATGATGAAGATGAAGATGATGAAGATGATGAAGATGATGAAGATGATGAAGATGATGAAGAAATATTAAAATATGTACATGAATTAGGGTATAAAAGTACAAATGATGCTTTTGAAAATGCTGCTGAAAATGGAAATCTTGAAATTATTAAACATTTACATGAATTAGGGTATAAAGGAAAAGGACCGGCAGTTAATTTTGGATATGAATTAGGGTATAAAGTTACAGAATATGCAATTGATAAAGCTGCAGAAAATGGTCATCTTGAAGTATTAAAATATTTACATGAATTAGGGTATAGAGGAACAGAATTAGCAATTGATAGCGCTGCAGAAAATGGACATCTTAAAATATTAAAATATCTTCATAAAAACGGGTATAAAGGAGCAGAAGATGCAGTTAATAATGCTGCAAGGAATGGACATCTTAAAGTATTAAAATATCTTCATAAAAACGGGTATATAGGTACAGAATATGCATTTAATTGTGCAGTAAATAACCAGATAAGCGAAGAATCAGATAGTAACCTTGAAATTATTAAATATTTACATAAATTAGGGTATAAAGGTTCAATATCGTTTTATAATTTAGCTGTTAAAAATGGATATATTTAATAATTTTGATACACGTAGTGATTATAAATTCTAGTAGTGATAAAGCTAACCAATGCTACTACTACGCATAAGCGCTACTATGCTTAAGTAAATCCCAACGCATGCGCATTGAAAATAAAAAAAATTGAAAAATGAATTAAATAATTTTCTTGTGTATATAAAAATAATGGAAGACGAAGAAAAAAAAAAAATAAAAATAATGTTATTAAAATATTAAAAGCAATTATTCGCGCTATAGAAAATGGTAACCTTGAACGAGTAAAATATTTGCATAAATTAAAGAATTATTATGAAGAATTAGCAATTAATTATGCTACTGAAAATTATGACTTTGAATTTGAGCAACAATTATATAAATTTAAGTATAAATATGAAAAATGTGCAATTAGTTCTGCTGCTATAAACGGCCACTTTGAAGTAGTAAAATATTTACTTGAATTAGGGTATAAATGTGATAAATTAGCAATTAGTTATGCTGCTATAAATAACCACTTTGAAATATTAAAATATTTACATGAATTAGGGTATGAATGTTATGATTGGACAATTGATTATGTTGCTAAAAATGGTCACCTTGAAATATTAAAATATTTACATGAATTAGGATATAAAGGTACAGAAGATGCAATAGATAAAGCTGCTCGAAATGGTCATCTTGAAATATTAAAATATTTACATGAATTAGGGTATAAAGGAACAAAAGATGCAATAGATAAAGCTGCAGGAAATGGTCATCTTGAAGTAATTAAATATTTACAATCATTAGGTTATAAATAAGAAGCAAGAAAAAAAATTGAAAATAAATTTCTTTACATAAATTATAAATTAAAAAATAATAAATGGATTTTACAATTAAAGATATTAAAATAGGAAGTTATAAAAGAAGAATAAGTTTAACTCGTTATTTTCAAAATAAAAATAAATTACAATGGGAAAAGTTAGAGAAGGAAAGATTAGAAGAAGAAAAGTTAAAAACACCAGATCAAATTTATTATTGAAGAAAAGTCACGTGACGTCATTTTAAGAATTTTTCGTAACATTTCATAACAAGAAATAAAAATTAACACTTATTTTAAAAAATCAATTTTTTTAAAATAAAAAATTATTTTTTGTTGAAATAATTTATATACAATATGGTTAACATTGAACCCTATATTAATATTAATTTATGGTTGAAAATTTGGCTGAAAATAAAAATGGCTCTGAACTCTCCTTTTCCTACTACTCTGAATAGTGTTATCTTTTTTTCGGTGGATGTAATTTTCCATCTACTTCTTCTTTTAGTTACTTATTTAAATCTTTTCGTGCATCAAAAAAAAATACTTTAAATATTATCATTTATTGCCACCTTTTCAGTTCTACCTCGGATTTCTTTCATTGACTTAGTCTTACTTTGTTTTATTTTGTTGTGATCAACGAAAATATCAGTATTTTTCATTAAAAAATTTGTAGAAGTTAAATCAGCAGTAGCTATGGCTGCTGCAGCTCTGTAAGATATACCATACCTAATAGCTGCTTGAGAAATCCTGATATTATCTAAATAATTTTTTTTTCAAACTAAAGAAATCTTTTTCTGAATTATTTACTTTTTCGTTATCAATGACCAAATCGTCTATTGTTGTTAGAAATTCTACTGCTAAAGCAGAAAATAATTGCTCAAGTTATATTTTAATAAAACAGTTATATTATATTTTTTAATTCAAATTACAACAAAAATTGGCAAAAATATTTATGAAGTTTTAGCATTTACCTATATCCTCACTCTTTGTTCCAGGTATTTTAGAGTCTGATTTTTTTCTTTCCAAATATCCTGTTAATCGTTATGTCTCTGTTAATCACGTTAATCGTTATGTCTCAACTAATCTTATTTGTACTTTTATTTCTTTGAGCTTGTAGGAAAAATAGTTCTTGCAAAGGTATCTTTGCACTTTTGGACATATAAAAGTTTCATTGGCTTTAAAAAGACAACCATCACATCCACTTTTATTACAGCATAAGATTTTGCACTTACATTTTTTTTCAAGTCAAATAACTTTTCAAGTTTGCCCGTACACATATTTCTTTTTGAGCTAGTTCTCAATTTTCTTATGTCTTTTGCAATGTTTGTTTCAAGGACAAGTTTATTGATTGCATATTTTTGTTAAGACTAAGGGGATTTTTTTTTGAGACCAACGGGATTGTAGACCTTGTTAACAACCAAATACTTTTTATTGCAATAAATATCTTGTACTCAAATGTGTTACTGATCTTTCATGTAATAAAACTCCATATCGTAAATTATCTCTCAGTGTAGGCAGCTCTGAAAACCAAAGTTCGAGTCCATTACCGAATAGTTCATGCAATTTAGGGCATTTGAATACTGTTTAAGCTCGAGTAGTCATTTATCGCAAACGAAACTAATATTATGTTTTTTAAAAAGTATTAGTAGCTTTTAGTAGTAAAGACTACCTTTATATATATATATATATATATATATATATATATATATATATATATATATATATATATATATATATATATATATATATATATATATATATATATATATATATATATATATGTTATAAATTTCTTAACTACATCATTTCTTAGTTTTTTTATTACAATATGTAGGATGCCTTCTAATTATATATAAACAGAACACGTTTAAAAAGCAAATTGTTCTGGAAAATATTATCTTAATAATTATCCATCATTTTAGCTATATAACAAAAAAAAATATTGTGCATCATTTCCTATTATTGACCAATTTTTATGGTTTTTAAAACTTATGGATATTAGTCCCAAACCCACAAATTTTGCTGACCATGTTTTATGATTCATCTTATTTTATATATTAGTTGCATTATGCACATAGAATATAACAAATAAAATTTATATACTTAATTTTTAGGAGTTTTTAGTAAAACTTACATTATTCAAATGTCCTGCTCTCACACAAGCCAAACTTTTGTAGATATATAGAGAGAAAAAAATTATTCACGTTTCTTCCAATATCCTACTACATATTCAAATTATTACGCGCTCTGCAATTTCTAACATATATAAATATTTTTTCTCTTGTAAAATCCATAATGGTCGACAATTTTTCTTTTGTCTACCGTGTTTGTATGACCATAAATAAAGTAACACCATAGGTTATTTTTTTTTTTTTATGTCTATATTATGTCTAATTGTTTTTTGATGATTGCATTTCCATAAGCTTTTTAAAAAAGACTGAAAGGTTGCCATTTTAATGAGTTTTTAGTAAAACTTCCATTTTTCAAACGCCCTGCGCCCCCACTAGATGAACTTTTTTAGGATAAAAAATTATTCACGACTCTTCATCAAACATTAACCATTAAATTGGTTTTATGTTTAAATTAAACTTTTTTCTCCAAGTTAATTATTTAAAGAAACTTGAAGACTTAATTTTTGGAAACAACGACAATTAAAGAATGACAGATATTCAGGGGCGTGTCTAAGGGATGTCTGCTACGTCGTTGGACGTACCCAAAAAATTAAATAAAAGTTTTTCAACTATATTATGTTGTTGAAAAAAATCTTACTATATATAACTATTAAAACCAAACTGCAGCTAAACTAAACAAATTATGCACGGTTAATTATCTGAAACAAATTAAAAACCGGAAAGGTTTTTAATTTGTTTCAGATAATTCAGGCTTGGACTTAGCCTGAATTATCTGAACTTAGGACTTAGATACCGGGAGATTCCCGGTGGGCCGGTTGCCCAAAAATAATTATCTTACTTTTAGTTAGGTTACATTTTATTTCCCGTTGATTATTGTAATCAACGGGAAATTAAAATATAATTAAAAACATAATAACTTTATTTCTGGCCTATAATTATATCTAATTACAGGCTAATACATTTGCTGGCTAATTATAAAAAATTTTGACGGCCATTTTTTGCTGACCGAAAGTAGTATTATATTAAGGTAAACAAACAAAATAAGTTAACAAATGTTAAACTATTTACTTTATAATATAATTTTATATAGCTGTTAAAATTTATATCACAAAAGATATTAATGTACACGATCAGTGTTTTATTGTGAACCGATTTGTAACCGAAGCTATACTGTGAATGTGTGATTTGGTTTGCGGAGCTTTTGAAAAGGTAGGCATTGATGTAAGTAAACGTATTGGCAACGCCACTGATGGAGCCTCTAATATGCAAGGTCATTACAAAGGATTCAATACCTGGTTAAATACAGTTTCCCCGGGTCAGATTTATGTTTGGTGTTATGCCCAAGTCTTAAATTTGGTAATTGATGACGTTACTAAAAACACCGTTGAAGTTGTTATTTTTTAAGGCGTTTTGAACTCATGTGCAGTATTTTTACGTAAATCATATTTACGCTTTAATGTTTCGCGTGAATTTAGCAAATTGATATATATATATATATATATATATATATATATATATATATATATATATATATATATATATATATATATATATATATATATATATATATATATATATATATATATATATATATATATATATATATATATATATATATATATATATATATATATATATATATATATATATATATATATATATATATATATATATAATCGGTGTAACCCGCTGTTGGGCAAAAGACAGAGCTTTTACTTAGGTAATCGGAAGTTTCTTCATCAAAACCTCTGATCAAGAAACAGAAGTTATTAATTTTTTGTACATTGACATGGTACAAACATTTTATGATATTTCTACATAAATCAGTTTCAATAATGATGTTCGTTACAGAGCAAAAGCTCTTTTAGATTCAATAATAAGTTTTGAATTTACTTTGACGGCACAATTATTTTAAAAGTGTTTGAGTATACAACGCCGTTGTCTGAATATTTGCAAACAACTGGAATGGATATATTAAGAGTCTATACGATGGTTCAAGACAGTATTAATAAATTAAGCAAAGTAAAAAGAAATTTGCAAACAGTGAACTGGGAATAAGAATCTCGACATTGACCCAGTGGGCATTTCGACGTCGAACGAACGTCGAGCGACGTCGGATCTTGACGTTGGATCGACGTTGGGTTTACGTTGGAAATGGAAATGTTATTTGACGTCGGATAAACTGACATCGCGCGACGTCGGCATTCCGATGTAAATCCAACGTGTTTTTTGAAAACTAAAAAACGTTGCCTTCGGCAGGAATCTAACCTCAGTCTATAAAACACTAAATCCTACGCGCTTACCACTACACCACAGGGACATATTATTTATAGTGATTATTTAGTAATTTATACTTGTAGCTATTTGGGAATTATTACTTTGATAAGAAATAATTTTGTTTAAATATTGTATAAATATTAAAACGAATAGTTATATATTATAAAAAATGTATACTCGAAAATGTTAATAGTTAAAAAACTATGCTAGTGCATTATACAAAACCTCATGATGTTTTATCAACCATTATTCAAACTTCTTTCCATTAATAAAAAACACGCTTAGTTCACATATTTATTGAAGAGTGCAATTGCACACATATTGTTGGGTTTGGATTAAATTTTCATCAGCGATGTCTTACGACGTTGTTCCGACGTTGTTTTAAGGACGTTGGATTGACGTCGAAAGATGTCAAAAGACATCGGAGTACGTTAATATTATGACGTTGCCCGACGTCTTTTTATCGACGTTGGATCGATGTCAGTACTGCGACGTTTTTTGGACGTCTTTTATAAGATGTCGAAACAACGTCAAATTACATCGAAACGACGTCAGGGGATGTTGAGATAAAGACATCGCCCGACGTCAT